CCCTGATTCCTCCTACATCAGGTCTTCTTTCAACACCCAGCTAATCAAGTCAAGTTTGCAAATTCTCTGTCCCCAAAAAATAGATTCTTGGCCTGGGAGGCTGACTCTTGCCTGCTGATACATTTTATTATGCTTTCAAGTGTTTCTTAAAAATGGGAATCAGGTTTAAAAGTCTGTGCCTTTTCCTTAATAATCTAAGTGACAAGATTATTGGAAAATAGGACCACCTGGTAACAGTGGGTTCATATTTCTGCATGTCATCCATTGGTGGGCCAGGGGCCACTGTCCACCTCAGATGGAGGAGAACCCCGTGGCCCAGAGCTTGCCTTAATTCTAAGAGTCCTCACACTGCAGTCAATCACCCTTGGCTTGGCTGACTCACTCCTCTTGCTCACCATACTTGCCTGGCCCCTGACAGTACCTGATAGCAGTTACTGTGACCTAGGAAGAGCCCGAACCACATGGAACCATGGGGAGAACACTGAGGCTTTGAGAGAGTGGGAAAGGCCAGCCAATGGACATGTGCTAAGAAAAAAGCATGTGGCCCACTCAGGACAGGCTTGATGTGTCCAAGTGATATGTCTTTTCCCATGCACGGCAACCAATAGCGCAATGCTGCTTCCGAACCCAATTCTGCGAGGCTGCACATTCACTGCTCACATTTCATAAGGGCTCTGCCCACTGTTACATGTGGCTCTGTATTTGCCTGGAAGAACCAGCAGGTCATGTCTCCTGCACAGCCCTGTTGCTTGAGCAAGCCACCCTAAGCGGGGCTGCTGCCCATCGGTCTCATAGAAGTTCATTTGCAATTTATATTCCAGGATTACTTATTGCAAAGAAGTATTTCTTTGCAAGGCAGGACCCGCAATTAATAATCCATATTATAATTAGGTATAGTCAGAGGAAGAATTATTCGCTGCCTTAGTGTGAAGAGATCAGGCTTTAAATGTGGCAAAAAGAGCCAGCATGGCCATCTTGCAATAACAAAAAGCCAGAAGGAACCAGAAATGCACAATTCTGTGCCAGGCCAAAGCATGGAACTCCTGTGTTCACACAAACTGTTATTCCCCCAGTAACTGAGCATCTAATATGCATCATTCTTTAATTTGCTCTCTTAAAGCACAAAACCCCTTGAGCTAGACAGTACTAGCCCAGTTTTACAGGGAGAGTAACTAGGGCTTCCAGAAGGCAAGTGGTTTCCCTGATCCCTGACATGTATAGGACCAGGATCTGACCTCAAGGGCCAGCCCCAGGACCCACTTACGCCACTTCTGCTCTAGTCTTAATTCTGATTTGCTATCATGTGGCTCCTCTGGGGACAAGGCCTCTCTAGTACTCAGAGACATGGTCTGTGGTCTTCAGCTCACAGGACTGTGAGTGTGGTGCCAGAATACACTGGGAGAGACCTGAGCAGTCACAGATGAATGAAAGGCCCAGCCTGTCCTCCGTGTATGTGACAGGGGAGAGACAGCATCTGCTAAAGGCAGGCCGTCTGACAGCATAGAGCATAGTCTGGGTCTGCACTGTTCAGGAACCCTGCACACTGCCCCACTGCCCAGATGCCCGTCCTTCCTCTCTTGTGCTCCCTGTTGCCCCCAGGTACCGCTCAGTTGTCCCTTCATCTTTGTAGCAGAGCCCTCTCTGTCCCTAGGTAACTGCAGCTCCCAAAGAGGGTCCTGTTAATCTGCAGGGTGAGGGTTTCCGAATTTTGACAGAAGGAAATTTAAGTGAAAGAATTTTTGCTTTGTCCATACAGTTATTCCTTCTGTTCTCAGTGCCTGAAACTCAATACCTCCCATGGTAAAAATCACAGAAAGAAAATGGAGCCAGAAGAAAGACAACAGAGACAGTAATGAAATAAATTTGGTCCATCCATATAATGGAATACCGTGGAGAAGGTTGAGAAATATTATGTATGGCATGGTTGCATGAATGTAAAAATAACCTTGTAAAGTATTTTGAGATGGGTATGTATGTATTTACAATCAACTATTTATGGTAGTTTTCTTTGAAGAGAGCAGAATGGAATAAAGAGGGATCTTTATCATAGTGGAGGGTAAGCAGGTACTCACGCTTTTTGCAGGAGTATACCTGTGCTGCACAGCGGCTTCTGCCTATACCCTTCAGGGTCCTCCTGTATCACATGGCCTAATCTGTCTACTCCACAAAGAGGATCTCCTGACGCTGGACCCACCAGAGGATCTCAGAAGAAAGTCCACCTTTGTACTGTGACCAATGATGGGCCACCAATGACTTTTCCCATCAGTTGGGCTTTTTGTGGACACCTACTCAGGTTCAGTAACATATGAGAAAAAGAATGACAAAGTACCACCTGCAAAGTGCTTCCTGGAGGTGACAAATCCAGAGCATACCCAGCAAACACACAAGAATGATGATTCTCCAAACCACTGTGCTGAGTATACCAGGCAGACACAGCTTTCACATCACATGCATCTGTTGAAGAGATGTTTTAAAGCGCCAACTAATCCATGAAGGAAAAATTCAAATAGCTAAGATATGGAAGCAACCTAAATGCCCATCAACAGATGATGGATAAAGAAGTTATGGTTCATATATACAATGGAATATTACTCAGCCACTAAAAGCTATGAAATCCTACCATTTGCAACGACAGGAATAGACCTAGAGGTTATTATGCTGAGTGAAATAAGTCAGATAGAGAAAGATAAATTCCATATGATTTCACTTATATGTGGTATCTAAGGAACAAGAAGAACTAACTAATCAAAAACAGACTCACAAATATAGAGGACAATCTGGTGACAGCCAGAGGGAGGGGAGTTAGAGAGCTGGGAGAATGGGGTGAAAGGTTAAAGAATAACAAATTAGTAGTTGATAAATGGTCATGGAGATGGGGAGCACGGCGTAGGGAATGCAGTTAGCATTAATGTATTGGCTAGGTGGAGAGCCTGAGCAGAGGAAGAGAAATTAGGGGGATAGTTTTATAAACTATGTCACTGTCTAACCAATGTAGTATATACTTGAAACTAATAAAATAAAATTACAAAAAAAAAGGAAAGGAGAAAAAGAATAGATGCCCCAGAGGGTGGGGCAGGAAGGCATGAGAAGGAGACTGAAGGGACTTTCTGGGGGCAATGGTAATGTTTTGTGTCTTCATGGGGTTTGGGATACAGAGCTATTTTTTGTCTTCGTCAAAACTCACCTGATATTGCACTTAAGTTTGCTGCATTTAAAAATGAAACTCAGTCAAAATTAGTCACAATTAAAGATATACACCAGGAAGGGTTAGGGAGTGAGTTAGCCTGATGACTGTAATTTACCTTGAAATTTATCAAAGAATAAAATGGAATGAAGACTAGAGAGAAATATGGATAGATGAACGATAAAATATGGTCTGATATTAATTTACAATAAAGAAAGATTGCTGGCAGTTCATTGTAAAATGATTTCCACTTTGCTGTAGGTTTGATAATTTTCATAATTAAAATTTGGAATGAATACAAAGAACTGAATGATTGAAAAACAAACTTGCAGAAGCCATGGTACAAACTTGTGACAAATGACTAATGACAAGGACAGACTAAAGGCTGCAGGAACCAGTGGTGACATTCTACCAGGAAAGTCTTGGTGGGTAAGGTACCCTGTGAGCAAAGAATAGGTGGGCTGGACCTGTTCAGCTGAGAAAGGCCTTGTGGAACATCTAGCCCCTCACTGCCACCTCCAGTCTCTGTAGCAGGAGGGGTCTAGGGCAGAGGGTACACCTTGGAGGGCCAGGTTGTCTTGCTAAGAGGAGTCTCAGACTCCATGGCCAGGCTGAGTTAGGAAAGTGGCCTTCTCAGCACCAGGACCCCGAGTGGAGAATCTGTTGGAGCACAGATCTAGAGGCAGCGAGGCCAGCAGAGGCCTCTGCTCACCCCAGAGCAAGCCTGAGAGGCTGAAGAGGCCTCATGCTCTCCCCATGCCTATGTCCTCAGGCATCAACTACCCCCTCACTGATTTTATTCAGAGTGACAGCCTGATGAACGGACTCTTTTCATTTCATTTGGGGTTCAGGTTCCTGCATTGTCTTTTTCCTTTAAGTGACTGTCCTGCTGGGTGGCAGTTTTCCACAGATGGCAACAGTTTAAAAGGTCAGAGTAGGGACTGCTGGATCATACTGGCAGAGGGTAGACAGCAGGCTCCTGTCACCTCAGCTAGGCTGCCATGGGGGAAGTATGACCACTTGGCATCCTCACCTGTAGTTTCACATGCTGCTCAGACACCATGGCTTGTGTGTGTCCAGGGGACATGATCAGAGAAATGAAGATGTTAGGCCCACTGCACAGCTTGGTGCTTTAAGCCAGGAGAAGCAGATAAAGACCCTACTTGTTGTGGGGTCTATAGCTCACCTCCACGCCTGCCACTCCAGGTCCCAGGTTCATAAGACTGGAGGAGTCAGGCAACTGCCACCAACAGCTGGCTCAGCTGGAGAGGCTCTCATCCGGCAAGTTCTTTAATTTCTCCTCTCCCAGCCTGGGCTCAGCATGTGGGGTGGGGAGAGCCAGTGATCAATGATAGAGATTTTAGTACTGGCCACTGTTGGTTAGGGTCTATCCGTTTCTAGATTCTGTGCCAGTTCCTGCAAAATCCATCAGCCTTTCCTCTCACAACAGACCTGGTGGTGGACATTGTTATTTCTACTTCTTGATGCAAAAGTGGAAGTCATAGATGCCACATTTGCTCCAGGTTGTTTGCCCATGGCTAAGAGCTCAGATACACACACGATTTTGTCTGAACCCATGGCCTATTACTCTATAGCCTTACAGAAAGAGCCCAGAGGCCAGAGCCAGCTGCCTGGGTCTGGATCCAGCTGGATCTAGCTGTGCGCTGTTACCATTGGACGATTGTGCTTATCCATCCACCTCAGTGGCTCAAATCCTAATGATGTGAACTCTCGAGTCTGAACATCCCAAGCTCATTACAGAGGGAGGGCTCCTATCTGGGAGGTAATTCCTCAAAGTCCCTCAGCACACTAATGCAGGCACCCTCACAGGGGAGAGAGCATCCTTGTCAAGTTCCAGATCTCAGTGGGAGCACTCCCCATTTAACCACTGGGTGTGGTGTTTGCAGTGAGTATTAGTGTGCATGGATGCCTTTTGTCTGACTTGGTTTCTAATATGACCTTGGATGTTGAACTGCGTCCAAATCTTTCCCTTCATCCATCGAGATAATCATGTTTTTGTTCTCCATTTTGCCGGTATGGTAAATTGCACTGATATTTCAAATATTGTATGAGACTTGTATTTTTGTAGTGACCCGTATTTAATCATGATGTATTATCCTTTATATATGTTGTTAGATTTTCTTTGGTAGTGTTTTGTAGAATGTTTTAAATATATATTTTCTTATTTTTAATTTCATCTTTTACTTTTGTGATTTCAGAAAGTAATTGCATGAATTTATATAGTAATCGTTTCACAATATATGCATGTCAAGTCATTCTGTGAGACATCTTAACTTATACAGAGCTGTATGTCAATTATATCTCAATATAACTGGAAAAAAATGTAATTGCACACACCCACACCACAACCCCTGGCAACCCATGGCACAGATATGCACTTAAATATATACACAATGCACATTGTCATACAAACACCCCATGTATAAACGCACAACTTCCATAATCACGCCATATGTACTCAGACCATTCACACCACACTTAACATCACACATATAACACACTCACATGTACCACACACACTGAAACCATATGCTCACAGCACACCCACCAGCACACGACATAGACTTACAACAGATGCAAACATATACTCCTGTGTTTACAACAGCAACTTTATGTCTTACCTTTTAAACAGGTCTTGGTAGTCTCCATACTTGTAACCTCAATACAGGCCTTGTTTGTGACCTGCAATAGAGAAAAGGGTGGCAGGGTTAGAAGGAGAGTACAGTACATGGTGTGAAGCCTCTCCATTCCCCTTCTAACATTTAGTACCCACTCACTGAATCAACGATGTTTTTTAAAGACTTGAATCCAGATTTTACTCCAAATGCATGTTCCTTGGTGTCTGCAATTGCCAGTAGCTGCAAGAGAGAAGTGTTGTCATAAGCTATAGCCAGGGGTTGGGAACACAGCAGGTCCCCATCCCAGGAGACAATCACTGGCTTCAGGCTATTTTACACTCCAACAGCCAGACCCTGGTATGGGCCAGCAGCCCATCAGCATTAGGGAGTGGCAAACCCTTCCACCCACTCCTCTGATGTGTAGGTTGTACACAACACTTGTTATTCATTTCTGCAATGGCTCTGTGTTGTCCAAACACTTGGGCTGGGTTAGAAGACTATCCTCTGGGGGACCCTGGAAAAGCTGCCTTTGAAAATAATCCCCAAATTGGCTCAAGTATGGTTCTGGTTACCTGTTTGGAATTACCTGTTCTTCCTTATAGCCTTCTACACCCACACCGATAATAATAGCTCCCATTTTCCGAGCCTTCTCAATCTATAGAAAGAAAGTGTTGCATATAAATCACCAAATACAAGAGCAAAATGCTAGTAACGATGAACTAGACTCACTTGATCCATTGTCTCTTGAAATGGCCCTGCTGTCAGTGTTCCATCGGTCAGAGCGATAATCGTGGAGGGAACCTTGTTTCCTGTAGAAAAATCAGGTATCGACTTGGTTAATAAAGCACCTGGAGTGAACTGCCACAGGCTACCAGGGCCATAGCACTGCTTCCTACACCTCCTCTTCTGGTGGAGAGGCTGCCCGGACCCACACACCCACTATCCATAGCCAACTCTGGAGGGAGAAGGGGCCTTAGCCTAGAACCCAGTTTACAGATGGGAAGACTGAGTTCAGCTCAGGGTTCTTCCTAATGCACTCTCACTATTACCAGATGGTGCAACTTTTGCTCTGAAAAGCAACTTCAGCTATTTCTCTGGACAAGTGTAACTCTTTCAGATGAGCAAATGGAGGAACAGCCAGACCTCACTGTGCAAGTGTGTCTCAGGCTGAGTGGAAGACTGAGCTCCTGCTCCAGACAGTGCCTGCTGGCATCTATGGTCCCAGAAGTTCAGAACTCAAGGTCAGAGACACTGGGCAGCAAATTGCATGTCCAGCTCATCACTGTTCCCCACCAGTCCCACACATCTTTCCTGACCAGAGCTGCGACCCCATAGATAAAGACGGTTCTGGGCTAAGCTAGCCTTTTCTACTCTTGGAGACACAGTCACAGGATGAGATCAACCAAAAGGAAGAAGCTGAACGGAGCAGGAATCAGAGCCACACTGTGCAAGAGACGAAAGTGTGGTCAGTAAGGGGAAATCTAGCTCTTTTTTTTCCATAAAATGAATCCTATATGCCCTAGGTCCCCTGGCTTTTCTCTTTTCTTTTTTATGCAGTTCAACTATAGGTCATATTTAATAAGAACCAAGCATGCATCCACATGTCCCATACAGTTCTGAGAAACATCACTGGGGTGATTTTTAACCTCACTGCACAGAGGAAGAACCTGAAGCACAGAGAATGAATAACTTGCTCCAATGTCATTACTAGGAAGTGGCCATGGTGAGTCTACACCCTGACCTTGCTGAGGCCCTGCTTGCCTCTGACTCCTGACCCATCCATAATGAGGTCACCAGGCAGCTTACCGCCAGAGTTTGCTTGTTCAATCTGCTCATTTGCCTACAACAAAATGAAGACATGTTGAAGAAGGGCAGTATGATGACCACAAAGTACTCTAAAAACTTGAAAAAGCAGAGTAAATACTCAGAGCTCTAGCAGTCTGTACCTTTTTAAATCCTTCCTGCATGTGTGTGGCTCCTGAAGGCACTACATTCCGAAGTTTGATAAGACCTTCTTCTATTTTTTTTCTTTAAAAAAATGAAAAAAGATTGTGGTAGAATGAGGAGTTGATCATTAAAAACAGCCTCGAACTCTCCTGACACCATTCTGCACCGTGCAGACCTGCCTGGGCAATGTAGGACACAGTAAAGTAGCCTTGTCATGGCTATTCTGCCCTACATCTTTGAAATTGATAGGTCTTGTTCAGGCCTTCTCTGTCCCCCATCTGGTGAGGAATTGGATAGGGCTTGGGAATATTGCTTTGCTGGTCCCAAAGGTACAGCCTGGTTTTCTGTGCCTTAATTCCTGTCTCAGCACATAAACATCAGAGGATCTCACTAAGGGCCACCTTGACCGTCCTTAGTCAGAGTGGAAAGCATCCATGGATGTAAAGTGATAACCACACTTACAACGTGACTGGAAAATGTGAAGCTCCTAAGGGGCCTTTCATGTGGGCATGCTCTCCTCCAACAGGTAAGGATAAGTTTGGAAAGCTCATCTTACTAAGCTCCTGCCCTGTCACCTCCTCCCCTGCTACAGACCCTAGGGATGACTCAGTACCCCCAAGCCACTTTTCCTTCTGAAATGGTGCTACAGGAAGTAGCCAAGCTGCTTAATTAGAGTACTAAGGTTCCTGGCCATCACATGCTCCTCAAGAACAAGACCAAAAGCTGGGGAAGTGACCCTGAGGGCTGCCCATGGAAGCAGAAGATCAGTCAGCCATGGGCTGCCTCGGGTATGTGGCCTGTCAGCCACTGTTAAAGCAGAGAGCAGGGGCTGAGCTGGGACACACAGGGCAGGGAGGACGGGTGGGAGCTTGGGTTTAGGCTGATGCAATGTGATGGGGCTGAGCTGGCACAGCAAGGTGAAGTTGAGCCTGGACTTCTTGCCATGAGCGGAAGAGTTGCTGTCCTGGGGTGAGATCTGAGAGCCCCAGGTCCAGCACTGCCTGGAGGTAAGGAGGACTGAGACTCATGGCCGGTGGAGGCGAAGCCAGGCCCTGCCCAGCCTAGCCCAGCACAAACACCCTCTGCTCCAGGCACCACACTTCAGAAGATTTTTGTTTTGTCATCAGCATCTCAAAATATGCTGGAACTGTCAGCTCTCCCCAGCTCTCCAGAACCCAGCTCTCTAGGCTTTGCTCTTTTTTGTGGCTCTCCATGGTGCTGTCAGTCCAGTCCTACTCCCAGTTCTGCTCCTGAGAGAGACACCAGCCTCCTGGTGCCCTCAGCAAGCCCTCTGACTCTTAAAATGTCACCCCCTCGCACACACGATTTCATAGTTTTCCATTTCCCTGAGCCCTGCATCTACTCCTGACACCCTTCCTCATGAACGATGGCCCCACTTTCACCCCCAGGGAAGACCTGGGAGGCTGTCCACAAGTCTCCCCACGGCTTGTCCTGCTTGGGCCCTTAGGTCCCTGCCTCAGAGGAGGCAGTTGTCTTCCTGTCGCCCAGAGGTCAACTTCCACCAGAGGCTCACATTCAGCGCCTTCTGCCTCTCTCTCTGTCAACTTCCCAATGAACCTGCTTTCATCCACCTCAAACCCACTCAGGTCTCTCTCTCTCTCTCTCTCTCTCTCTCTCTCTCTCTCTCTCTCGCTCTCTCTCGCTCTCTCTCGCTCTCTCTCGCTCTCTCTCTCTCGCTCTCTCTAACTGATCTCCCAGGGATGGTATTTTTTTCTTTCTTCTGTCGAACCTGCTTTCATCCACCCCCAACCCCCTCAGGTCTCTCTCTCTGTCTCTCTCTCTCTCTAAAAAATACAAACCACAAGCACATACAAAACCACATTTTTCTCTTGTTGAGAGAGCCGCCAGTTCCATCCCCGCTTCTCCTCAAAGCCAGACATTGAGGTGCTATCTCCATGCACTGGCACCACCACACCCCCGCCCCTGCAGCCTGGCTGTTTCCGCTTCACTTGGCTGTTCCCGATTCTCTCCAAAGTCCTGAACGGCAACTTTTCCCCACAAATCCTAGGACCCTTCTGTCCTAAGTTTCCTTAACTTCTCTTTGGTGCTTTACCCAAATTGGATTGGGTTCAGATTTTTGTGTCCACCAGAATCTTAACCTCCCAGCTACTCAGAATCTCCATAACTTCTCACCATCAGGCCTTTGTGCACAGGGCCCTTCTCTTCTATGGCCCTCCTAAGATGCACGTATGTCATGCCTTCCTCAAACACCCCTCCCAGCCCTGTGTTGAGGATCCCACTCACGAGGATCGCTGTCATAGTTACACCAAGGGACCTAGCTTCCGAAGAGCACCGAGGAAAGGACTCAGGTCGAGGGCAGGGCTTAGAGGGGGCAGGGATGGTCTAGAAGCACCGGGGTCAGCCAGTGCCAGTGCAGCCAGGAGTCAGAGGGGGCCAGAGAGCCAGGGCTGGAAAGTGAGGGTAGGCACTGGGGGGAGCCTAGGCCAGCTCAGCCTGCACACCAGTGGGTTCTCCACTGAGGTCTCAGGGAACCCCTCACTCCTTGGCTCTCCCTATAGCCTGCCCACTGGGCTTTCCTTGGGGGATCAAAACAGCACTTACTTGTCTGAGGTGAGCTTCATGAGGGTTTGGCCATATGTGGAGAAAGTGATGAAGGACATCCGCAGTTTCGGGCTGGGGAGGAAGCACTCCTTGTGAGAAGCCATAAACACAGGCTCAGAATAACACCAAAGAGCAGCAACAGAGGGAAAGTCTTGCATGACAACTTTCCTGCTCCTCACTCCAACTCTTCTTTTTTGGGGACCATTTCCCAAACACTAGAAGTTCCTATTACTTTAGTGAAGGATTCTGAGGTCTGAGGAGATGATGGTCCTTTTATGAAGAGAGAGCCAGGATGGCATTCTGCTCTAACCCTATACTCCCAACACCCCTAAAGTCTCCCACCCTCACATGTGTGTGCATGCACACACACACTCACACACACAGGCATGGGCCCACGCACAGTGAACACTTAAGGAGAAAGACACCCAGGCATCCTGCATAAGGGTCTCTCAAGTGGTCTTTTCTACTGTAAAATTCTTTTGACTTTCACTGCCCTTGCTTCTTTCCTGTCTTGCCTGCCTCATCTCATCTTAAATTAATCTCATTCTTGGCAACCATTTATATACATCTGTCACTTTTTTTTCTCCCTAGTTGCTGTCTTCATTATCTGCTGACTTTCATCATCCCTTATCTAAATGGCTACCATAAATCTCTAGCTCTGCTTGCTACTGCTCCTAGCTCTCGTTCCATTTTATCAACAATTATCAGACTTTTCTTCTTGCATTACAGCTTTGATCACTTTATATCCCTGCTCAAGAATCATCCATAGTTCTCTGTTGCTCGCAGCAAAAAATCTAAAACCCTCAGTCTGGCATTATGAGCCTCTATGGCCTTTGTCCCAAGATGTCTGTTCTAAACTCATCTCCCAGGCTTCCTTTGGGTTAACTCCACTCTCTAGCCATACAGACCACTCATGCCACAAGAAGTCTTCCTGATTGTTCCTATTATCTAGTTTTACCTTTACAACTCGGTTCGAATTTCCATATCTTCTATGAAGTCATCCTTGCTTCGTTTTCCTAGAAATTTTTGTTTTTTTTTTTCCTTTAAGTTGCCTTATAAGTCCTTTGCCCCCAACACCATTTAACCAAGTGTTTAGTTACTGTGTTACTTTTTTGCCTGTTTTCTAAATTATGAGATCCTCTGTGCCATACTGTGTTGCATGTACTATGGCCCAACTCCTAATCAGGAGCCAAACAAAGCTGCTGAGACTCAATGGGAACCAGTACGATCTGTTCTTCCTTCCTGCTTCAGAATACTGACCTGATAGATTCCCATGCCCACTGAGTCTAAACAGCTGTGTACTCTGCCTGGCAGAGGAAAACATCCCCCAACATGAAGAAGCCATACTTTTCAAGCTTCTTTACCACCTCTTCCACAAGGTTGTAGATGTCCATCCAGTTGTTGTTCACACTGCCCGACCTGAAAATGAAGACTTATATCAGAGGGATGAAGTGCATCCATCCTGTGGGCATTGTTTCTTTCTTTACTGCCTTCCATCAGGCCCTTTATCAAGCTCCTCCCTATTCCTTGTAGCTAAAGGCTGCCATACACCTTCAGCAACTTCAGTGGGTCACCGTTGTGGTGACTGACATCAGTGAGTGTAGTGGGAAGGTTGGCCAACCAGACCTGTGTGCTTGGGATTGAGGGGCTTCCAGGGATGAGGGACTTTTGTTGGTAAACCAACATGGTTAGTCACACTAAGTGGGCCTGTTAGATAAGAAACGAGGTAAGATGCATTGGTTGGAAAAGCCTCTAGTGATTCTGATATGTTGGAATTCTTGGTCCTCCACTTCCTTTTGGAAATAAACATTCCTGGCTCTCTACTCCTCTCCTACACCTCAAGTGGAAAAGAGCATACCACCATGGAACACCAATCTACAAAAGTAGGCAGAAACAAAGGAAAAAAGAAACAATGAAAATACAAAACCATCAGAGAGCAATCTATAAGATGACAGTAGCAAATCCACACATATCAATAATCACTCTAAAAATAAATAGATTAATTTCACCTATCAAAATGCACAGAGTGACTAGACAGATACACACACACACACACACACACACACACACAGACTCAACTATATGTTGCCTACAAGAGACTCATTCGGTTTTAAAGACACATGTAGCTTCCAAAGGAAGGGATGGAAGGAGATATTCCATGCAACAAAAGATATTCCATGCGAACCAAAAGATATAGGATAAGAATACTTAGATCAGACAAAATAAAATTTAAGTAAAAATGTAATGAGTCAAAGAAGATCATTATGGAATCATAAAGGGGTCAATACATTAAGAAGATACAATTGTAAATATATATTCACCCAACCCTTGAGCACCTAAATATATTAAGCAAATAATAACAAAATATAAAGGGAGTAAAGGAAATAATAGTAAGCAAATTTAATATCCCATTTTCAACAATGATTTTGTTGTCCAGATAGAACATCAACAAAGAAAGCTTGGAATTTAACCATACCATGACCAAATTGACTTAATAGATTTATTTGAACATTTTATCCAACTGCAGCAGAATGTACATTCTGCACAAGTCCACACAGATTACTTCCAGGATAGATCATATGGTAGGACACAAAACAAGTCTTAGAAAGTTTAAGAAGATTGAAATCATATCAGCTATCTTTTCCAACTACAATGGTATGAAACTAAAAATCAATAAGAGGAAAGCTGGAAATCAATTATATGTGGAAATTAACACACTTTTGAACAATCAATGGGTTAAGGAAGAATAAATAGGAAACAAAAACATCTTAAAACTAGTAAAAATGGAACCATAATGTACCCAAACCTATAGGATCCTGAAAAAGCAGTTCTGAGCGAAAAATTTATAGTGACAAATGCATATATTGAGAAATTAGAAAAATGTCAAATAAAACACCTAATTTTACACCTCAAGGAATTAAAAATAATTTCTAAATAAGCCCAAAGTTAGCAGAAGGAGAAATAATAAAGTTTAGAATGTAAATAAATGAAATAGAGAACAGAAAAATTGAAAGGACCAACAGAACCAAAAGCTGTTTTTTTTTCAAAAAGAGAAATTGAGAAATACTAACTAAGAATAAAAGAGGAATCAAATAAAATTAGAAATGAAAGAGGAAATATTACAGCTGATGCTACAGAAATATATAGGATCATAAGAAACTATCTTGAAAAATTATATGCCAATGAATTAGACAGTTGAGAAGAGATTGATAAATTCCTAGGAACACACAACATAGCAAGACTGAGTCAGAAAGAAATAGAAACTCTGAATAGACCAATCTCTCTATTGAGAGATTGAATCAGTAATCAAAAACTTCTCCATGCAGAAAACTCTAGACTAGGAGGCTTCACTGGTGAATACACCAAATATTGAAAGAATAATTGAAGCCAACCCTTCTCAATCTCTTATAATAAATTGAAAAAGAGGGAATACTTACATATGCATTCTAGGAGATGGCATTACCCTGATACCAAAACCAGATAAGGACACTTCAAGAAAAGAAAACTATAAACCAATCTCTGATGAATATATATGCAAAAAGGCTCAACAAATCATTAGAAAATTAAATTCAAAATAACATTAAAATAGATTATATACTATGACCAAGAGAGATTTATCCTTGGCATACAAGACTATTTCAACATATGCCAATTAATAATTAGGATACAGTACATTAATATAAAGAAAGAAAAATAACACGATAATCTCAATAGATGCAGAAAAAGCATTTGACGAGATAAAATAATAACCTTTCATGATAAAACCCCCAAACAGATTAGATAAAGAAGCAACATGCCACAATTAATTAAGGCCATATATAACAAAACTTTTATACTCAATAGTGAAAAATTGAAAGCTTTTTCTTTAAGATCAAGCTCAGACAAGATATCCACTCTCACCACTCTTATTTAACACAGGAAGTCCTAGCTAAAGCAATTAGCGAAGACAAAGAAATAAAGTCATCTAAATCAGAAAGAAAGAAATAAACCTGTCATTATTTCAGATGATATAATTTGTATATAGAAAATCCCAAAAACTCAACCAAAAACATATTGGAACTAATCAACGAATTCAGTAAAGATGCAAGATATAAAATCAATATATAGAAATCAATTGCTTTCTATGCACAAAGAATGAAACATCTGAAAGAAAAGTAAAGACAACTATCACATTCACAGTAGCATAAAAAACAATAAAATACTTAGGAATAAATTTAACAAAGGAAGTAAAAGATCCGTAAAATGAAAATTAAAATAAAAAAACAAATTAAAAGACATTCCATGTCCATGGATTGGAGAATTAATATTGTTTAAATGTCTTTATCACTGAAAGCCATCTATAGATGCAATACAAACTCTATCAAAATTCCAACAGCATTTACAGATAGAGGAAAAAGAATCCTAAAATTTGTATGTAACCACAAAATACTCAAAAATAACTAAAGAAATTCCGAGAAAGATGAAGGCAGGAGGTATCACATTTCCTGATTTCAAAGTATAATACAAAGCTATAGTAATTAAAATGGTATGACACTGCCATAAAAATAAGCCAACGGAACAGAATAGAGAGCTCAGAATTAAATCCCCACATATATGTTCAACTAATATTTGACAAAGCTGTCAAGAACAACCAATGAGGGAAAGATAATCTCTTCAACAAATAGTGTTGGGGAGGTAGATAAATACATGCAGAAAAATAAAAATGGATCCTATTTTACACCACTCACTAAAATTAATTTCAAATGTATCAAAGACTTAAACATAAGATCTGATATCATATAATTCCTAGAAGAAAATGTAGGAAAGAAGCTACTTAAAATTGGTTTTAATAATAATTTTTTGGATGCAATATAAAAGGTACCCAGAACAAAAGCAAAAATCAACAAGTACTCCTACATCAAAGTTAAAAGCTTCTGCACAGTAAAAGCAACAATCAACAAAATGAAAAAGCAGCCTAGAATGGGAGAAAATATTTGCAAACCATATATTAGATAAGGGGTTAATTTTCAAAATGTAAAAAGAACTCATACAACTCGATATAAAAACAAAACAAAACAATCTGACAAAAAATGGGCAGAGAAGTGATATAGAAACATTTTCAAAGAAGTCATCCAAATGTCAAACAGGTATCTAAAAAGATGCATAGTGTCACTAATTATCAGAAAAATGCAAATCAAAACCACAATGATGTATCACTTTATACCTGTTAGAATGGCTATCATTAAGATGACAAGAGATAACACATGTTGGTGAAGATGTGGAGAAAAGAACTTTTATACACTGTTTTTATACAACTTTTATAACAGGAATATAAATTGGTTTAGCCACTATGGAAAACAATATGGAGGTTCCTGAGAAAATATAAAATGATCCACCATATGACCAGCAATCTCACTTCTGTATATATATCTAAAGCAAATAAAAACAAGATCTTGATGATATATATACACTCTCATGTTTATTACAGCACTATTCACGATAGATAAGATATGGAAACAACCTAAATTTCCACCAACAGATGAATGGATAAAGATGTGTTATATATATATGATGAAATATATTTCAGCCATTTATGACAACATTAATGAATCTTTGGGACATTTTGCTAGGTGAGATAAGTCAGACAGAGAAAGACAAATACTGTATGATATCTAGAAAAGCTAAAATTGTAAAAACAGAGAGCGAATGGTGGTTACCAGAGGATGGGAGTGAGTGGGTAAACAAGAGAGATATTGTTTAAGGGTAAAAACTGGCAAGTAGTAGACAAATAAATCCTGGAGATCTAATGTACATTTTAGTGAATATAGACAATAATATTGTATTATAATCATCAAATTTACTAAGAGACTAATCTTAATTACCTCCACGACAAAAAATAACAATTATGTGATGTGATAAGGATGCTATCTACAGTTACAACTGAAATCATATTATAAGATATAAATGTATCAGATTAATATGTTGTACACCTTACACTTACATGATGTTGTAAATCAAACATTTCAATAAAAATATTTTTTTAAAAAAAGAAGGAATAAATACAATCAGGAAAATGACATATGAACAAAATGAGAATATTAAATTATAACCATTAACATCCTTGTAAGCACGAAGAAAATATCTATAATAGTATATACATAAAGGAAGTGAAATGGGAATCAAAATTTTGTCACTACAAAAAATCAACTAAACACATAAGAAGGCAGAAATAGAGAAAATGAGAAATAAAATCTAGAAGACCTACAGAAAACAAATAGCAAAATGTCAGAAGTAAGAACTTACCTATAATAATTACTTTAAAAGTACATGAATTAAACTCTCTTATGTTAAAAACATAAACCAATCAAAAGGTTTATATTGCATAATGGCTTTAAAAAATCCAATCATGTAATATCTAAAGAGACTCACTTTAGATGTTA